CTTAGTTAAGTTCTTCTTGCTTAAAAATGCTTCAATTGTGTCTGTAAAAGCTGTAAACCAAAGCCCCTGTTCATCCAGGTCAGCACAGAGTCTTGCAGTAATATTCTTCGTTGCATTCTTTATTTTCTGTGAAGCACCACAATGTGGACACTGCATAATGTTATATCCTCACATATGTAGCATTTTTTCGTTGTATTTCTTTTATTTGGCAGATAATTTGTATGTTAGGCTTATCAACGACTTTGAATTCACCCACATTCGGCACATGAGGAGGTTCGACGTCTGAATCGATGTCAAACTTTTACCGTTATATTCGACTGGCGTAGTCGAATAGAACGGCGAGTCGACCCAATTACAAATAGGTCGAACCTAATTGATTCATGCGTCGAACTTTTCCTGTGCCGAATCTAATAATTAGGTTCGGCACATGAAAAGTTCGGCGTTTGAACTTGGCTCGTTCCTGGTTAAAAAAAACACTTGTTCTGAACAGTCCATTACATTCCAACGTGCGTCGAACATTCTCATGAGTCGTGACATGTTTGGACACGAACGTGCTTACTACTGTTCTTTCATTATCATTTGATAAAAAAATCAGTATAGCATATATAGTGAACGAGTTATGCGAATTCATTCTGTTTGCTTATAGAAAATACCTACTTCCACACGCGGGCATCTCGAGAGAGTTAAGTAATGTAAAACTTCATTTAATTGTTTCCCGATTGTATTTTCAAGAACTAGCAACCAAAAATATCACTCCACCATCACACCACCAGCCTCAGCCGCTTTCTGATCACGTGCAAAACCGTGGCATTTATCGCAGTCCCAAGCGGGATACATTTAAATTTGTTCAGGGTCACTAATCCTTTGTATAACAAGGGACACAACAATTCTTCATCGTTGCCTAGTTACTAAGACTGACTGGCAGCAATATAGAGTGTTTTTACATCATGAGCAACTGACAAAGGGTGTGTCTAGCACAGATTTGCAAGTACTTAATAAGAGCGTAAGGTTTCACGGCCCCAATTAAAATTCCTAAGAAATCTGCAGGGGCAGAAAAACATCAAAGTAACGTTCAGTGGGTAACAAGGACGGTTATCTAAATATAAAGGATCAAAGTATATTGAAATTCTGCCCTTCATAAATGTAATGAATTTACTTAAATTTTCAAACCTTGTATTTATTTTCCTATTCGGGAAAGACTAGGTCAGTTATCGACGACAGAAATTTTTGTCTCGTCCATTTGTTATCTAATTATTCCTTATCGTTTGTTTTTCAGTGTGAAGTTTGAAGGACTATTCCGTGCGTCAGCACCGAGTCATGGGATAAATGCAAAGAAGTAAGCAGGGCCTGCGTGGCTCCGCTTGCTGATAAATAGGGAGCTTTAGCAACGACGACGGCGACGGCAACGAAAACGTCGTGTCGAAATCTAACTTTTCGTTTTTGTAACTCTTTCGAGATTATTCCGATGTGTTTCACTTGGAAAATGCTGGCGAAATATTCAGGGACTATATCACTACGAACGGCGTTAAAGTAAAGAAAAAGAAAGAAAAATTAACCGTCATCCGCTCACGTTCTCGAGAAAACCTAAAATTTCGTTATTTCACGTTGTTGTTTTGCCGAGAACGGCAAAGAAATGTACCAAAATGCTAAACACACGTGTAGGACGTCGATTGTTTTTGCTCATTAAGCCTATTGTTTTCTGCCGTTCTCGTTGCCGTTGCCGCTCTCGTTGCTAAAGCTCCCTAATGTGTTAAGAACGTTAAGGTTTATCATAAATTCGGCTCACTCGAATCGTTCATCAAAACGTGCGGATCCTATGCTTACTGTGATCAGAAAACCAACCCTACCTGTAAAGGCGCTAGTGGATCGTTCGAGTGTGATATCAATTGCTGCAGCGGTGACGACTGCAATGCTGGCTCAGCAACCCGCATCAGTGGTATTCTGCTGCTGTCATGCGCCTTGGCCTCTCTGATGATCTTTTCAAAGCCTGAAGCGTGACCGTGGTTGAGGTCAAGCACGGCTGATGATCAAGGCTGCAACTATTATACGCTTTTTTGAAAGGATGTCGGTAGAGAATTTGAATAGAAATTCTTGCTTAAGTCGTAGTAGTAGTCCATAGTAGATAAAGTCAAGCCGGTTCATACAAGAGAAGATGCTAGTCCATCATAGTTTGTCACGTATTGTGCTTATTAGTTACAGAAAAAAAAGCGGCTTTTTTTTATTTTATTAAATGATGCAGCTTTGGAAAAATAAAACGTTGTTTCTAACAACCTCTTCTTAAAGAGTCTCTGATTTAACCCTTTAACTCCCAGAAGTGATTAACATGTTACTTCTCCCTATAACTTCCATATGTTATCCAGTAAACAGGTAATGAGAATACTCAAACTTATCAGATAGAAGTGATTAACATGTAACTTCTCCCTATGACTTCCATACATTATCCAGCTAAGAGGTGATAGAAGTACACTTGTACACATGACAACGTTTAAAGTAGAAATTCTGATCTGGCACCATATTCTCATAACTACTTTACAAGGAAATGTGAAACTGCTAGAGGAGGGAATAAACAATCACATCTTGGGAGTTTAATGGTTTAATGACACCAAGCGTTATAGTTCTTACTCTTGTAGTCATCATTATTTTGCTTAAACATTTTACTCCTCCTCCTCCCCCATCCCCCACCCCCCTCCGCTGTCCCCTCCATGGGATTTACACGACCACATGTGTTACCTTTTCCTCACATCTATTTTAGGCCCTTTTTTGCGGTGTGAAAAGTGCTCCAACTCCTCTAGGTTCCACCGGAAGCTCGCCGGCTTTGATTTAATTGGAGCTTTTGATTCCAAAATGAAATTCACCAATGATAACTTCGATGAGTTCTTATTATAGTTTCTAATTTTCGTAGAAACTATAACAATCGGCATACGATTTGAAATATACCAGCCTTTGAAAACAAAAAGCTCGGCAAGCTTTTCCTCTCAGTTTTTTTTATTGAAGTGTTAATATCTGACAATTGCTTCTCTATCTTTTGTGGCCGCAGTTCTCATTGGCCGGTTGAATCGTGAAGCGCCATGATTGCGTTAAATGGTTTCCTTCTGCTCGCCATGTGTTGCTCTGTGATCGCTCCAGCATTGATTCACTCTGTAATTTTAAAACAAACCAAATGAAAGCAACATGAAACAGTGGCGACTTGTCTCCTGTCTTTCCTACCTGCTACTTCCCAAAGGTAAGCTAGCTGTATCACTACAAGTGATATACGATAGAAAAAAAATCGACTGACTGATACCCGGTAGCCATGTTTGCTTCAGACCTTACTTTAATTTGTTGTGCTGCTACTGTGAACTCACTAACCACCGGTTTCAACTACTTTAGCCTTTTTTTGTGAACGTTCGCATTCTACAAACCTCAATAATTACTGACTCTTCCCAACTTTCCTCAAGTATTTCTTGCCTGGCACTTTTGCAATGATTCACACCGTTTTTGAGGGTTACAACATTTACAAAGTCTAAATCTTTCAACTTTAAAAACACGACTTTTTAGCTGCATCGATAGTACCCCCGAAAGTTCGTAGTCTATAAAATCTGTTTTATTTGTAGGAAAAACTTGCAAATTGCGTGGAAATATGACTTGACTTGTTTCATCAGTTTTGAGCTTATTCACATTTTTTCTCAAGTCATCTTGCTAACTTTCTTTGAAAGTATCGCACAAATTTTCCAAATTTACTTTCCGGCCACCGTGACACTTTGAATAGATACGGAGACTAAAATAATCGTAATGTTTGACAGCAGAGGGTAAAAGCGGAATATTTAAGCTAAAAAATGACGATGTCAAATCTTTGTACAGCTCTTGGGTGAAGAATAGAGGATCGATCCGTTTCGCAGGTTATTACTTAAATCTGTGGCTCGTAGATAACCGAGTCTTTGTTTTATCGTACCACCACCTTTGGAATAGATTTAAGTCTGAAAATGGTACAAGATAAATAGTAATTTCTTTGAACTCGAGACCAAAAGGTTTGGTCTCGGTGGGAGGGAGCAGGGATGAACGAAAACAATTTTTTAATTCGTCTTTCAGTGCTGGCTCTAAGTTGCTATTCTTGTGAATCCCAGTTTTCTTGGGTTCATTGCCGGAAGACAAGTAAGACATGCAAGACTGAATATAAATGCGGCAAGGTGTACATCAATATTGACGGGAAGGAAAATTTTCAGAAAGATTGTCTGCCACCGGAGTGGTGTTTAAAGGAAAACCATTATGATTGTAAAAAGCATCTCTTCAAGAACACCACCATCTGTAACATCCACTGTTGCGATGATAATAACAACTGCAATGTTGGCGCAGTGCTCCAAATCAGCGGAATCCTGTTACTGCCATGCGCCCTGTTATCGGTTATGTAAATGAAGTTTTAAGTTTATATTTAAAATGCACTAAGTCCACTCAGTGTTCATGAACTGTAGGAAGTTCGACATACTTCGCGTTTGTAACAGAGCTATCAGGACTCGATTTTGTAATATTTTCCAAAGTAGAATAAAACGTGCGAGCACTGTTTCACCCGATCCTAAGGATGCGTTATTGTGTAATGATTCAGATCTGAATTAGTAGTCCAGGGCACACCTATGCCGGAGGGGAGGGAAGGGGTTACTTGGGTCAATTACGCCGATGTGCTCTTAAAACGACTCCTCATTACACATGGCCTATTTTTAAGAAGTACCTTCCCCCCCTTCCCCTGAGCAACAATGACGTTGACCAATCTTTGTTCTGAGAAAATTTAGGGTCTCCTTTGATGCAATCTGGTGAAAGTGAGCTTGGGTTTCTTATCCAGTTATACTTGACGGCAACACAGCATTCCCTGAGCACTAACTTAACTTTTCCCTGCTGCTCAACTTTACCTATTTTGCGCAGTGGGAATAAGGCAGGAGGGGTAAGGGGGAGAAAAGGGTGGGAAGCGAAAGATAAATGTAAAAATGGTAACTGAGGGCAAAATTTGAATTTCTTTTGCATCAACTCAACACCCAGCTGGCATTTTTTTTAATTCCTATTTACTCACTTCAGCATTACTCTCTAACTATTGCATGGCTTGGACTGATTTCTGTTGGCATTTAACGTCTTCAATTCAGCAGTCATGTAAAACGACGAATGATCATAGTGATGTAAAACAATCAGACCATCCAAATAGACAGTAGCTATGACGTATGAAATATCACGCCTCTCCTTGAAGGTTCTTGCTACCCTCTTCTTGTTCTGGTATGGACACAGCTTTTCCTCTCCTTTTGTCACACAACAACATAAAGGGAATGAATGATCCCGCCAGCGTGATACCTCCAGCAACTTGGAAAGGAAGGACATATGAGCCCAATTTGTCCGCTAATAGACCTAAAATATAAAAAACAAAGGAATGAAATGAATGTGAAACAAAGATTCTGAGAGGATCCTAATCTCCGTACGAATTTTTGACAAACGTAAGTACAATTTCTTTTAGCGAGAGTTTTTTTCCCAAGTGGTTAAAAGTAGCTTTTAGAGCCTGGGTAACAGAAGCACCGACAGAATATGACGTATAAATCACAGGCTGAGGGCCTGGTGTTGATAATGCAAGTTAGCAAATAGGATGGCGTTGTGAAGTTACCTTGCCAATTCTCACTGAACAACTGCACTCCTAGACACTTTTTTTGGGAAAATTTTTGCCCCACCCCCCCGTCGCCCCCTAACCACCCTGCCCCTCTCTATTATGGTCTCTGGTATATCAAAGAAAAATCGGTAATATACGAACATGGAAACGGAGAAAGGGGCAGGTGAACACCATAACTGATCATGATTCTAAAATGGAGTCTAAGACTGTCGGTTCCAAAGGGCAAATATACAACTCATTTAAAACCAGACGAAAGATACTCAATATTCCGCGGGTGTAACTCACAACTTACAACTCGATTAGCTCGAGGGAAGTTGTACCCAAGCAATTCTTGATTTCTCTTTTGTTTATCCCCTGGGGTAAGCATGCATTGGCTCTGAACACTGTTTAGAGCTTAGAAGCGGTTATCGTAAAGGATACAGACTGACTGCGCTTTATTAACACTTTGAAGATGCAACTTGAGAACAAGGTTATTGCCTATACCCGCTAATGGAGGACCACTGGCCAAGAAAGCTGACGTCAGCATCATTTCCCAGCCGAGCACTGCGGGCGTCTTCAACGGACTGACTGTGAGAAGAATAAAACTCAAACTCGTGAAGAAGAATCCATCACTGAGACCATACACTATAATGTAGATAACCAAAGATGTGTAGGTTGTAGTAAGGGTAACGAGGATTGTGCTCAAACCAGCTACAAATTCTGCAGCCTGGAACGCGTAGAATGGGTTGATCTTTTCGTTGTTGCACAGGATGCCAGCCAGGAGTCGACCAATGGCGGAGCAAAGTCCGTAGTAGATAAACAGTTTTGAACCTTTCTCGGCCGAGATTCCCAGATCTTCTCCGTAGCGAATCTGGATCGAAAGAAATGATAACAGGCTAATAAAGTAAAATTAAGTCTCGGTGACATGAAAGCGTTTTTGTTATTATGGTTAAGAATCAGACTTACTAAATGAATCTGCGGCACAAAATGGCCGATCTCTACCACGCATGCGGCTACTATTATAGCAACGACTGGAAGTTCTTTCCACACGGAGATATCAACCAGCTGTTTCTTTGGAGACACCTTCTTAATCGTGTTATCGTCTCCGATAGCTTCCTCTTTGCCTTGATTGTCGGTACCATCGTCATCACTCTCAACGTTGGGATCAAATGTCACAGCAAGACAACACAAGACGAACGCTACCCCCGCCATTATGCGATAAGTCGTTTGCCAGCTACCGGTAATTCTCACCAGGGCCTCTAAGGTGGGGCCCATAACAAGCACTCCTCCACCGTGCCCAGCTGTTAATACCCCTGTGGCTAATGACTGTCTCTTTTTAAAGTATTTTCCTATCACCACCAGTCCCGCAGAGAATGTGCAACTGGATCCCAAACCAAACAGAAGGCTGTAGGTAAAGAAGAGAACCATCATGTTCTCCACGAAAGAGCTGGTGATCAAGCTGACGACGCAGAATGCGCCTCCGATCAGAGTGGTGACACGGCAGCCAAATCGGGTGACCAGAGCAGAGGACAGGTGCCCAGTGAAGAAAGCCAAAGCGATACCTACAGAACCAAGCCACGCTGAAACGTCAAATAAAACGTCACATCTGTTACTTCTCCATTTTTCTTTTTAATTTCAGGTGAAAGCTATGACTAAAATGAAGAAGTTGTATTGCTTAACCCTTTACACCCTCACATCAGTTTGCATATTCTCCATACTGTTCTCTATACATTTCCTAAGGTGCTGACAAGGAGAATTTGTTTTTAACAACCAAAAACTTCTTTAGTCGGTAATCATTTCCTTTGTTCTCCTGACCTTAATGTTTGTAAGGAGAAATTAGATTCTGGTCATTCTCAAGTGTTGAAGGGTTACATGATACGTAGATCTCTGGAGTGCCTTAGGTCTTTTTAGATAGTAAATGTGGCCTGATAGCAGCGCAGCTTGTGTACAGCAAATCTTACCACAGTGCCCTTAAGGCAGCAGAGTGGACTACAAGGGTTCCCCACGCGTGCCAAAATCAATTTCTTTTTCGCTGAATTTCTTTTTTTTTAACTCGAGCAACGGACTTAGCCGAAAGGGAGAGACTACTCGAAGTCCAGCAGGGGAGAGCCGAGGAAGAACGAACCGGTAGGGCGCTGACTCTGTGCTATCAGGAATTAAATAACGCGTGGAGAAGACTATCTGGACTATGAAAACACATGACATTGTATGCATCTAATACATTTAATAATCTAATTTTGATAAAATTACGTTGCTAAAAAACTTAAAAACAGAGTTATGACATGATCATTTTACTTCAAACAGCAGTGGCGGCCGTAGTAAACAAGTAGCGTTATAGCGTTATTGAAGTTTTAAATTACGAAGCATGTACTGACTGGACGACTTAAATAACGCAAAAACTGTAGATGCACTCGACAGTGAGCAAAGGCGAACGTCGTCCCTAATAATTAGAGGTATGCGAGAGGTATAAGATTAAGAAATAGAGTGTATGTCGTTTGGAAAGTAACCTTACCTGTGGCTTCCCTGGATTCGTTAAAATAGTTCATGAACACAGGAAGGAAAATTCCAAAGCTGAAAAGGAAACCTAAAGACGCGACCCAGGTCATGGTGGCACAGGCACAGACAAGCCAAGACCACATTCCGTCCCGCTTCCTGGGCTCCCTGGACGAAAAAAAGCTGAAAAATGGCCATTATGACACCTAGGAAGTGTTTTGTTGGAGCGGAACTGAATTGTACAAACCTAGCTACTACTTGAGAATATGCACTCAGATGTTGAACAACAAAGCAATCAGAGTGATGTGGTAAACTCCCGAGTGGGTGAGAACAATAGTACATTAAGCGCTAAGCAGACAAATCTTTTGGTTAAGTTGATCATTAAAGTTTAACGAACCCACAAATCATAGATGCAGCTTAATAAAGCGGTGAAATTCAGGTCAATCAGGCCTGATTTCCAGAACACGGGGGATCCAGTGCAGGCCAGGTTTTTCAGTCGAAATAATCTAAAAGGAAGGGAAAACAGTATAAGACAAATCTAACACTTCGGCCGTGACAAAAACAAAAACGAATGATATAACAAAGAACAGCTCCTTTTTTTATTATGTTAACCTGCGGACGAACTACCTAAAGTCATAAAGTGTAACAGGGGTCTGAAGCCTACAGGACAGGTGTAATTTTTTTTCTGTTTTTTGGCGAACGAAGGCGACTGCACAGGGCAAGTGACGCGCGATAGGAGGAGCGGAAGAAAAGCGCAAATACGCCTGTTCATTTGCAGGCTGTTTACAGTGAAGAAGTTAGTAAATGTAAAATTTCATTTTCTATCTATTTTATCAATTAAAACAGTGTTGGCTTGAGCGATATATTGAACTCGCTGGGTTTACTATATGCAAGAGGTAGAATGCTCCATTATCGTCGAACAAAAAGACTACCACTTCAACAATGAAAGCCGTTCAGTTCGTGATTAGGGAAGGTACGTTTTTTATTGGGAGGGGGGGTGGGCCAGGGTTTTTAAAAATTTTTTGCGAAAAAAGTTGTGGCCCTCCCACTTTCCAGATTGGATTAATGCATGACCCTTCATAAATGCCTAAACAAAAGGATCTGACCCTCCTCCCCCACCTCCACTAAGACAAAAATTACTGTAAGTGAAAATAACTGACTGGAAGTGTTGCTCACATAACCGTGTCTGCGCACAAAGCAGTTATTGGGTGGCGTTGCACGGTGAAAACTGAAAAATGGGCAAGGATGTGCGAGGAAAAAAAAGAGGGAAATGCGCTTGTGGAGAATGCGAGGATTTCATGAGGTCAGTGTTAGGCCCGGCCACAAGTTGCCGATGAATCCCAAAAAAGTTACCGTTAAAAGTGTCTAAAAGTTGCCATAAAGTTGCTTTTTTTTTCAAAAAGTTGCCGAAAAGTTGCTGAATTTCCAAAAAGTTGCCGAAAAGTTGCCAAAATTTTTCTGCTTTTCGTACCCTTTTTGGATGTTAAAGATTAAAAATTCGCACATAGCTTATCAAAACTTTATTTGTCAAAGTCCAATGATAATATCAGAGGTTCTTTCCATTTTCACTTGATCAACAAATAGTCACTGAAATTGTCCGCCATCTTGAAAAATGTGCAACGTGATACCGCTGACCCCGTGATAAGGCATCACAAAAATCAACCCATAGGGGGGGGGCCTAATTATTGTATTTTAGAATAAATTGAATAAATGTCTTCGAAAACTGACCAATGTGGCTCAAAACGTGAAGAAAGTGGCTTCAGAGAACCTCAAAAAGCCCAAAGTTTCCGAAAATTCTAAAAGTTGCAGAAAATCTCAAAAGTTGCCGAAAAGTTGCAGAGCAACTTGTGGCTAAGCCTATCAGATGGAGTAGCTCAAGTAACGAATCGTCACCGGACACTAATTTTATACCAGAGTCCCGCGCGGAAACATTACCGACGTCAAAATATGGACGAAAGCGGGCACAGGTCGAGAGACAATTTACGTTAGTTGGGGCAAGATAGTTTTTCGACATAATATTTCGACATCTGTTTCTAATGATATAGATTGATTTAGACTGGTAGCTTTGCTTGCATATATAAGTTTTAGGTTTCTGTACACTTCGTGTGTTTGGTAACAAATAATTAAAAGTCAACTAACCGACACGGAGTAGTTTTTTCCTTGCCCCCCAAAAAAAACTAAACTGTGAGCCTCCCCCGGCTGCGTATCAAACAAGTTTGATCCTCCCCAATTTTTAAAATATTTACTAATGACCCTCCCCTCCGAAGCCCCGGCCCATCCCCCCCCCTAATAAATAAACGTACCTTCCCTTAATAGTGATCCTATGCCTTGGCACAAACCCAGTTTCTTATCCCGTGTATTTAAAACCAAATAAGTTCAATAAAAGACAATTACAACGTTGAGAGAAATAACAATACACATGGAGAGGCAGAACATTTTTCGTTGCCAAAAGACTCCTTTTCCGGCCCGAGCTTAAAGTTCAAATTCCATCGATAGAAATCTGATAGTTGTGGCAAATCAGAAACAACATTTGGCTGAAAATAAAGTCTTCGAAATTCCTAAAAATCTATAAATGAAAAAAAAAGCGACAATTTTTCAACGAAAAAAGCTCAAAAACTGAACTCAACTCCATGAATGAGTATCCACATGTATTTTCACGACAATCTCAAGGTCAAGTTGAGAGGTCTTTGAATATGATTGGTTGATTGATGAGATCTAGTCGATTTAATTTTTTTGTATCAGTTCCACAAAGGAGAATACTTCGTCGCCGAATTATTTTTTTATTTAACGTTTACTGAGCTTCAGCTTATCCTAAATTCATGGTGACGTCAGGTAGGGTATCAGCTGCATGGTATTTTCTTAACCCTTTGCGCAGATTCCCTATTTTAACAACACCTTCTACTCTTTGAAATATATTTTAAATTCAATCGTACACTAGCTGCATAAAAATAAGCTCAGGAAACTTGGTTTAATCTTTGCCAAGAGAATATAAACCGTCCTCTTCGAGTCATCTGTTCTTTACTCTTAATGACTCCAATCCCCCTTGATTTCCCTTGAAAGTCTGAGTTATCGGGGATTAAATTTAAATCACAACCAAGGTATTAAATGGCCTAATGGCCTGCATTATAAGAGAGCACTTCAAACCATTAATAGGTTGCATGACTGATCGAGAAAAATTTCTGGCATCGCAAGAAACAGTATTAGATGTAACAACCAAACAACAGAAATTAGATGGTCGGTCAGTTTCGAAAGAAACTATAGTGCTTTGTCGAAGGGCTAAAACTCGAGACACCAGCCTAAGAAACTCTTCAGTGTAGCCGTTAACTTGCATTATCACTCCTCGGTTGATAAAACCAAATTAAAAGAAATCAAAACGAAAGGGTCTTGCTAAAGGGTCACAGGGTTAGGAAAAAATAACTTCGATGAAATATTAAGATGCTAGCCGGTGAGAACATTAAAACAACAAGATAAAGCACTAGAAAGCCTGCTAGGGACGATTCAGTTTTATGAAAGAGAGAAAAACGTAACTCTTACCCACTCCTAAATTTGTTTGCACTTCGCTTGATTAAACTTGTATGTAAATTTTCTTTGTGTCTTGATCTGACATTGTTTATCAAACGACTGAGGAAACCCCGTGATTGATTAGCCGTCGGTATAACTCGGTAAGCCGAAAAATATTGAAAACTTCCTGTTTCATTTTGTTTGGGGCTATTTTTTTTACCGATAAAAGAGAGCGCAAGTTCTTGTGGTTTAAAAAAAAAGCGATTGAATTTCCGGTTCCCTAACACTTCTTGTAAGAAAGTCACGTCCACCTTCGTTTCGACTCACGTGTTCAGAGCACTTATAATTCGCAAAAAAGAAACAACAACTTTGAGTTTAAATTTACCAAGCTATTAGCCAATATCTCGTATTTCACTCAATGCATTCTTTTGCCTCTGGCAGGTAGGATCTGTTGAAAAGCAACGATAAATCGCAAACACTACTAGGTTTATTTCTGAAAGAAATAAAACCAATATTGTCATGATGAACAAGGCGCTTACCAAATACTGAGGGGAAACTAAAGTATCAGTTCAGAGTATCAGTTCTTCATATCCGCTACTGGGAACGAGGTTTGCGAGCCCGCGGTCTTTTAATCATGTCTTGTTACTCAGATGCTGATGACATTAAATGAAATTCAAAACCACTTGTCTATGAATACAAAACTGTTTTTTTCATGAATTATAATAATAATAATAATAATAATAATAATAATAATAATAATCTTTAGACAGGGTGCGTTCTCACATAAAGTGGTTTTCAGAACGGCCCTGTATAAAATAAATTAATAAAGGAAAAACAAATACAAATTACAGACATTAGGAAAATATATAAATAAATCACAGTAACCATGAAAATGCCAAGGTCACGTTGATATATGATAAGTAGAATTGTGAATTATACACGCGCTGTGATTGCTTTTAAAATTACTTATGATCTATTAGAGTGCAGACGCCTAAGGCAGGGGTCGCACTAACATTTTTGGTGTTTGCATTGGACATAAAATCTGTCATCGCGTGCTTGTGACAAGTGCGACCCTTTTGTCGCGACCAGACACAACTATGTCCGAAGGACCTAAAGATAAAAAAAGCTTGCAACTAACGTTGCAACGTTGCTATCTATATATCGGCTTATCTTGCATCAGTTTGCTGTTTCACTCCATTTTTTTTTCTTAGTTGCGGGGTAGATGTACGCGATACAGAGATGACAATTGATGAAGCATTTGGTTCTTTGACTGAATGTCATTGATCACTGACAAGCTTTATTGTCCCTAACCAGCAGAGGGATATACTTTTACTTTTACTTTTGAAACTTCAATTATTTTTAACCGGCACTGAGAGCACAATTTAATTTTTATTAAAAAACACGGCCAATAGACGTGTTTCTGATCCTCGTTTTATATCGAAGCTTCTTTCATGTTCTTAAAACGTTGCTCTTTTAATTAAGATTAACACTTCTCTCTTTTCAATGTAAGATTATTTTTTGTGTGTTGATCAAGCGTTTGACGTGAACAAAACTCCTCAAACTCTTTGGAATGACCCTGATTTTAAAAGATTACATGATCCTGCAAATAATGGCTTTGTCATTGGTTTAACTTTTCTTTTGGGTGAAATTAATTAATTCTGTTGGATAAAATCAATGAAATATTAGGCTCACTAAACCGAGCTGATAAAATGATAAGGGTTGTATAATATTTATGTATTATTTTAACTAATATTTTGAATGATTATTGTTATTATTTTATATTAATCACACCCACGACTTTTACCCACACCCACGACCCACGACTTGTACCCAGGACCCACGACCATTAGTCAAACTCGTCGACGTCGGTTTAAGGCGGCAAGAGCCAACATTTGCCGCTGGCCTGAATGTTGTACGCTGCGTACAAGCCAATAAGAACTTGTACATTGAACAAATTAAACAGAGATTGAAGAAATGTCGCTAATAAAACTAGCACCAGCTTCATGTCTACAAAATTATATTTGGCGCTCTTTTCACGCGTGAAGTATTATGAGTTGACAGTGACACTCTCAGCTGCCCCTCGTGAGCTACTTTTGGTCTTATCACATGCGTTTTGAAGTCATTTATGTAGTACTGAACAGACGCATAGCTACATTGAATCTATTTGTTAAATTGTTAATGTTTCAAGAAAGAATGATCGTGGGAATCGGGAATTCTTTTTGAGTTTTCATCATAAAAATTTATGGATAATCCTCATTCAGCCTGATCAGTTTCAATAAACACGCTAAAAGCTGATCACTAAAACGTTTCGCTGTGGTTGACCTGGCGAACTCCAGCTCCCAGCACCCCGCGTAAACGTGACGGTGTCAATGATCGGCTTTATTTACTTCACAGTCGTAGATGACGCCATAAATGACCTTTGAGATCTGATGTATCTCACATAATCTCAGTTGAATAACGTGGTTCGCTGAAACTAATATTATGAGAGTGTATGTAACCACCCTTGGCGTTTGCCACCTTTAGGTGTTTTTTTAGAAAGCGATCAAATGTTGCCCACATTCAAGATATAAATCCAACCTATTTCTTATCTCTTGTCGTTCATGGTATCATCATCTTCAAATTAAACTCCTAATATAAGTGCTGATGTTTAGATTATTCAAACGATCGTTAGGTCAGTGATTAAACAAAAACTGCAGCCGAATCTTATGTTAGCTAGAGAAAAGAAAGCTTCAACGACAGTTTTCTGTATTAGGTGGGATCGAAAACTTAGTTATTTAAAATGTATCTGCATGATCTCACTGAGCATGGCCTAGAAAGGGGAATTTTGCGCTCTAATAGCAAGCAGTAAAAGATTTGTTCGTTCAGGTTGGCCAAGAGAAATACAGGTTTCAGGTAGGGCTGAGCAGAAAAGAGTTACTTTAGTGCAAAAAGGCAACAAATAGTTTAGTCGGGCTTTAAACTTTTTGCAGCATAAACTGGAAGAAAAAAACAGCCAGAAAATTGTTACATGTTAGTTGGATCGAACGCGGTTGTTTCGAAAAAAGCACGGTTTAAGTGCATTATGTTTACACACCTCTGCAAAGTTATTTTAAAGCCAAGACAAAATGTTTTCATTGATGTCATATATAGATAATCACATAACTATTATTGTGCAATTTGGAATAAATAGTGTTGTGACGTCTTCGGGAATAATAATGATTCATCGGCGGGGAATGGGCAGGCCATGATTTTTAGTACAGAGGGAGGCTGGGGACACAGAGAAATTCCTAGGGGGGTGGCGGTAGGGGTGGGCGAGTAGAATATTGCAATCTGATCTAAGATGCTAAGTCATCGAAAGCCGAGGTTATTTTTTTTTAAGAACCTTGCTCTGCAGGATACAAATCTGCAGATGAGATGGAGTCGATATCACTGGCAGCTCATTATCAGTTAAGGTAAAATAGTACAGGTAACTATCTGCAAGACTTGAATCATATTACCCAAGTCACGATCGTGAGCTGGCATTATTGCATCATACGGCTTGCTTCTCTTAATAAATTTTCCCTCATGATCCTGTCAAAGGTATTGTGCTTACGAGAATATAGCAGACTGAGAAAAAAAAAGTGACAATCTAAGCTCAGTGACGTAGCTCATATACGGCCTCAGGAAAGAGGGTTGACAGCACCGCTTGCAAATTATTCATCGATCCATAGTGGTACGTAGACGTTTAAATTCTCAAGATTATAAATTTCAGCTGAGGTGTCTTAAGTTATCACTCGAGTTTGATTTTATATTCGGTAAATTGTATTTTGCAAAAGCCATGAAAAGCGATAACGAAGGTCGCGGTTAAAAGCGATGACTCAAAAGGACCTCATTAAATATTCTATAGAAAACATATTTTTATGTTTTCTTTGATTTATATTTTTTTGGATTTTCACTACAAATATGTTTTCTAGAATATTTAATGAGGTCCTATTGAGTCATCCCTTTTAGCCGCCACCGATAACGAAGACCTCATAAACTAATTAAATTAAAATTGAGTGAGCGACTGTAACAGGCTGAAACAGTCACCAGTCCTTCCACTCCATTAGCTAACTTGACTTGGGTAGAGGAAACACCTGATGGAAAGCTTTTGAAATAAGCTGAACATTCAAGATATCATATCGCCTATGATTGAACAAGATGTAAATCACCAGGAATTCCATGAGAACAGGATCCCTCAACCAGTACTTCTGAGTTCTGAATATTTTAAAAACCAAACATATTTTAAATTTATAACCAATATTAGTTATGGCAGCATTACATTGGTAGTCTTGGGAAAGAGAGTAAAGATATTTACCTTATTTTCTTGAATAAGCACCGGGGCACCTATTAAAAATTTTGGCTAAAAGGAGGGGGCACTTGTTGGATGGAGGTCGCTTAATTGAGGAGGGGGGGGGGTCTTATTAAGATAGCACAGCAGTGGGCAAATATTAAAAGAACAGATAATGCACTTAAAGAAACTATGCAACCACATAAGGATAGAAATAACTGGAACTGGAAAGAAACTATTTTTCTGTACTGATTCTGCTGCAGTCAAAGCCCAAGAAGTTATAAAAAAGGTGGCAGTAGAAACAGGCCGGGTTTCCTTGTATTCCTACTAGTTAAGAAAATGAGGGAGTCAGAAAGGGAGGTGCTTATTCGACATGGGCACTTGTTTGACACTATGGCCCTAGGGGTGGGAGCTTTTTTGGGGGATGTTGCCAGATATAGCAAGAACTGTGCTCACTTGAGGAAATATGGTAAGAGTCAGGCATATGAGGAAAGGTTTTTTTTTTTCTAATTTTGATGCTTTTTTTTTTCTCAATTATAGGTACATTAGGTAATGTTTAGCATATATAATTGTTGTGTCAAAGCAAGGCACCAGCAGGATTCAAAATGGTCCTTTGTTGTTTGTGTCTGTGCAATTGTCACTCAAGTGATGGTTTTGGGAATAATGCGTAGCTTTGGTGTGCTTTTTCCCGTACTGATGGCAGAGTTTGAAACAAGTAGAGAAAAAACAGGCAAGTGGGTCACTTTGAACACAGTATAGGTATGATCTTTCTCACTGTTTTGAATACAATGGCTTGTTAAAGCAGCAGCTCTTATATTCAGAGATATTTCTTAGTGGTCTCAGCATTTAGAATTCTATGGAAGTTAAAGTATTTAGAAAAAGAAGGGACAGAGATCTAATGGGATGGAGCAAACCAAATTTATTAAAAACATTTCTGGATAATTATCACTGGATCATTATTTCTTACAGCTTGGATAGGTTCCCTTTGCATATCACTGGCACTATTCGCTGCTCCCTTTGTTGGACGACTCTCTGAGAAGTTTAGTTGTCGTTGTTTGATCATGACTGGAGCACTTCTGTTTGTAACAGGACTTATGGCAACGTCATTTATTAACAACATCGCCATCATGTTCATCACTTACAGTATTCTTACGGGACTAGGAGCATGTTTCTGTCGTACTTCATGTTTTCTAATAGCAGCTAAGTACTTCAACAAGAGGCGATCTTTTGCGACAGGGATGATAACCATGGGGTCCAGTTTAGGACTGTTTGTATGGGGCCCTATAACACAGGTTCTACTTGATTCATTTGGCTGGAGAAACACATTTAGAGTGATGGCAGCCACATGTACCCTCATTTTTCTCTGTGCCATGACTTTTAATCCCAATGTCGAGGAGAAAGACTCAGTTCCAGAAGGTGCTGCTGAGAAGCAAAACATAGGAGAGAGTGATGACAACGATGTTGAAAATGATGACAACAATGTTGAGAATGATGACTGTAGCAAAGACTTTGAAGCTAGAGAGGAGAAAATGAAGATTCTTGATTTTTCAATATGGCGGATGCCCCAGTACTGTATACTTGTTTCTTCCTTCTCACTGATGTATTTGTCTCGCTTTATACCTGTTGTTCATCTAGTAAGTGATTTTATTAAAAACTGGATCATTGGATAATGCAATTCAATACTTTTTATTGGCTCAGCCATTATGGTATATGTGCCAATATACCATAATCTAATTTCTGTACATTGTTAAATCCGGTTTCTTCTCACAAAAAAAAGTCGAGAAGATCTGTCTAATATCTTGGGGGCGTTTTTTTTAAAAAAACAATTATTCCACTCTCGCTTGTTGGATATGAGATGATTATAGCCAACTCGGCACTACGCGCCTCGTTGGCTATCTATCATCTCATATCCAATGCGCGCTGGTGGAATAATTGTTAAATACAGCCCTGGGAGTGACCAGTATTTGTTATTTCTCCCTTCAATATCAGTCCAGAAATTTCACACATTAATGTCACAAGAATAAAGTTAATGATTATACAAACAAAGAAATTACTAGGCTTGTGATTGTTAAACAAATTCTCCTTGTCAGCACCTCAGGAAATGTATAGAGAACAGTATGGAGAATATTTATATTGATGTCAGGGTGTAAAGTGTTACAAGGAGACTCAACCCTTTTAGCTCTAAATATCGATTTAATTTCCGCACTGTATTCCATACATTAACTTCTTTTAATTTTAGAACTGAGAATTTGGTTTGAAATTAAACAACATCCCCCAGATGAGGAATTTTTTCACTTTTCATCACCTTTCTGCCTGAAACTCTTTTGGTATTGTAAGGTGAAATTAATGTTTGGTTGCATGTGGGGTAAATTTAATTTTAATTTGATAATAAGTTCTTATATAGCGCATTAAAATTGAACTCTATGCGCTTTACAATTACAATTAACAAAATTTCAATAAAAATCCTATACATGTAATTTTCGCTACTCTATTTAAACTAATGAATTATTACGTGTTATACATATATTTGACAACGTATGATATCACAGGGATTATCACAGGGTACCTTCTTAATTCAGGGTAGAGGTAAACTGTTCAACAGTACTTCATTGGCTGTGATCAGCAAGATTTTGAATTAGCTTGTTCAGGAGGTACTTAAGCTTCAAGAGATACTTAAACTTCAAGAGTCTTACTGAGCCAATAGTGACCAATCTGTGTGTACACAAATACCAGACTTGAGACACTCAGTGATGGACAAAGGGACAAATCTTAATTGACTCTGATACTGACTTCCACCCATGTTTATACAAAAAAAAGTCAGTCACTGCATGCTTCCAATAACTTTAACAGTTCCTCAACTGGATGGTTAGACTTAATTCACACTTATAAACAGATGTCTTCTTTATTTTCAGGCTAAGTACAGTGAGGAACTGAACATTTCAGCGGATCAAGCCTCGTTCTTGTACATGTTCCTTGGAATCTCAGGAGGCATGTCTGCATTCCTGATTGGCAGATTGTGTGACGTCAAATGGATCAATATTCGTTATGTAAATCGTCTTGGAATTTTGGGTTGTGGAATAGCTACACTGCTGCTACCTCTTGCTAAAAACTATATTTCTGTTGCATTCTATTCTGTTGTGTTTGGGTTTGCAGATGGATCCTTCATCACAACACAAAATGTAATTCTCTTGAATATTGTTGGGCCCAAGAGACGTGCTGCTGCATTTGGGTTTGGGTGTATGTTGTGTTCTTTGGCCTTAGCTGCAGGTCCGCCCTTGGCAGGTGAGAACTCAGTTAAATTTAACTCTTGTAAGTCATATCAAGATAACACACACTTGCTGATAAGCTTATTTTTCTCATCACCTGTTTGCAAGATAACGTATTGGAATCACAAGGAGAAGTTACATGTAGATCACTTTTGGGAGTTAAAGATTTAACAGTTTCTCTTTGTGGTGGACTCAGGTTCTTATCCACCAATATTGCAATCTCTGACAGAGATTCATTTTGGTTTGAGTATAAATTATAACAGGCAAGAACCATTAAAAAATTGGTTTATATCTGTCAATAAACCAAAAAATTGTCAGAGAAAGTAAAATCTTGGTCGGTGATTTTGTGTCTATGGTGCCATGGAGCAGTATATTGCTTGCCTCCAAATTAGCCAATCAGTATGCACAAAAAGCACCATACACCCTTTTGGTAAGAACTGACTATATTTAACCAGATGAGGTCACAATCAATATGGTAAAAGAGAGAAAAAGAACAAAAAAGTTAAGGAATGATAGCCTTTAATCCTGTGGTTTTGTGGACAAAGTTGATTGAAGCTCTCTTCACTAATTCCTCGCTTAAGGTTGCTGAACACAGTTTTCGCGCATGCTTTTGCTGATGTAATTCAGCACACACACAAGGATTGCAAAAGACAAACATGCCGTCAATAGAGCAGTCATTTAATTTACTTAACGCATACCCGCACTATCTCAGTGCTATTTTTTTCTCAATACGTAGTTGGCGCGGTGTATTGATAGTATTCATCTTTTACTACAAAGACATGTTAGAAAAGTTAACGATGCAAAGACCTCAGCAACTCTCAGCTTTTTCGTCTTACCAAAGAACCCAGTTAAGTGCAGCGTATGCGTAGTAAGTCAAAAAATTGTGATTGAATGGAAAATTGGTTTCTCAGAAATATGCCTAGTTCTTGAGAACCACTCATTAGAATTTCACAAAACTTGGCACGAAAATACTTTAGGAAATAAGTAAATGGAGTATTGAAAAAAAAATGATTTTTAACAAAGGAAATTCTAGATAATCGACTGAGTCTTCAACAAGAGACAATGAAAGATCTCTCTGTTAAATTATTCGCAAAATGGTGTTAGCTTGTGAGTATCGTTACAAGCTCGTTGCATGCAAATTTTAAAGAAAGTCTAATGACTGGATTTTCTGAATATAGACAGAACCGATTTTAAAGGCCAGTTTATATTTAGTCATGTTGCCATAGCAACGGCACAGACGTCACCTTAACTATTGAAAAAAAAACGTTTGTGTTAACTTGCTTGCTGCCAGTTTTGGTGACCAAGAGATCAAGGGTTTTAGAGAAAATGGCGAAAGAAACACAGGTATCAAAAACTGTGTTCAACAGAAAAATTTCCTTTTGATGTGGCTACAGTGAAAATCTTAGTCTTGAAAACTCTCATACTGACAAGATGATCCATTCAGGGATGGAGCAGTGATATAACCACAGGCCTCCCACCCCTGTGCTGGCACCAATTCATCAAATGGACCTGATTAAACATTAATTAGCAGGCATTAACTTTGTTGTTGTGTAATCATTGTATACAGGGCTTTTTCTATTGACCTATTTCAAAAAATATATACTTAGGCAAGCAAGCAGTATCTTCCATTTCTGACCACATTGTCTCTGTTGTAAGTTGCAACTGAAATATTTGATTTTATTTTTTGTAGGCTTCATAGCTGACCAACTAGCTTCATACAAGTTTGCATTTTACACAGCGGGCTCTCTGAATCTTCTCAGTGCAGCTATTCAGATGCTTCTGGTCTGCTTTGAGCCTCCAGTCAAGGA